AGTTCCAAGCTCAGTCTGTTCTAGTTTGTATCAAGGGACTTACCCATTATACAGCCAACTCAGGTCCAGGAAACACTAAAGTGGCTTGAAGCCAAGTTTCCTATCCTCAACCTGCACTGTATGTTCCCTAGGCAAGTCCTTGCCTATGCCTAGGGAACATACAGTGCAGGCTGAGACTGAAAACTTGGCTTTAAGCCACTTTAGTGGCTCTCTCAGGCTATTCTTTTTCAAACTAAATTTCTAATACATTCCTTTGTAGGGTGCAGTGGTTTTATCACATTTAAAAGACATATTGCATTGTTACCCTGTGAACTCAGCAATGATGCTTCAGGAACCCCGGTGACAGGTATTCCAGACACTGGCAAATCAGCATTTAATTGAAGAAGATATCCTTCAACCGTAGGAACTTCATCCCACTTAACTTGAAAAGAATTAGTAGTAGCTCTGATCAGCTGCACCTGTGATGGTGCTGGTGGCTTTTCTAAAAGAAACCAATGAAATGCAGTTGGAATATTTAGCTCTTCTAGCCCAATTCAAAGAATACCTGTGTAATGATAACTCAACAGAGCACACTTCTTCAACTATTTACAATACAGGCCCAGTAACATAACACTTTTCAAAACAAGTTATGAAATGCACCAGAAATATTAGAAGGTGAAGAATAAATAATATTTTTAAGACACTGTAAGAATGTACACAGAACTTCTCAAAAGTAATTTGGCAACAGAAAAGGTCAATGAAATTCTGGGACACATACACAGAAGCTTGGGATATGATCAAGGAGAATAACCTTCCTTAGTTGGGGATTATATGCATCAAGTATTTTTGGAACTTTAGTGGGACAGAATTCACAAAGTTTCTTCAAAAAAAGACTACGCAACCACCACATGGAAGGAGGAGAAAAGGGACATGCGTGCACATACAAAACCCCTCAAACTATGTATAGTTTCATTAAACAATCTTTCACAAGTACCTGAAGTATACGAAGACCAAATAAAAGAACTGTTAATGGGTAAAAGATAAGAGCAACAACTAAAAATGGAAGTTAAGAAAATTTTAGACACCTACAGAAAAACATTTATTATTGCTTAGAATGTGCCCTCCAGTGCCCTGATTTCAAGCATTTTAGTAATGTTGTAAACTGAATCTCACATATCTTACACAGGTCTTCAAATAAATAATTTTAGTAAAGAACTACAGCAGTAACCTTCGAAATCAGCAACACAGAAGCACAGGTTTTTCACTAGAATAAGTTCTGGAATGTAAACATTCATTGAACTTATCTTCAAAATACTTGTAATGTCAAATTTCCATATCAAACTGATACATGTTTCTTATATGATGTTCTGACTCACCAGTATCTAGATACCAAAGATCCTTGCAGCAAACTTGATTGTTCCAAGCTTTCCTGTAACCATCTCTACCACTCCAGATGTAGAGCCGAGTGCCAACTGCCACAGCACAGTGTCCAGCTCTTGGCCCTGGTAACAAATTACTGTTGTCTTCCGGACAATCTGGTATTAGACTTATCCATTCTGTGGTATCTAATAAACAAAACTTGAAAAAATCAGTGTCTTTTTGATATAATATGCCTTTCTAGTAAAAGAAAAAACAGAAGTGATCAACTACAAAAAATACAAAAGAGTTTACATTAATGCCTCCAGTACCCTCTCCCTCTATCCAGCAGGACATCATCTGAGCACAGACCCCAAATAATTTGTAGACAAAGACATTGTTATTATAACCCCAAAAGAATTTTGAAGACGACATTTTCCTGATCTTCAATTGCCTCATAACACTGGGCAAAAACACTGCAGGGATCTCGAGGTAGTGTAATTAATTGGCTCCTGGCAACAGCCTTGTATTAAGAGATTTGTCTTACAGTACAATCCTATATTATAGTAAGCAGGACAATGTCTACAGCAGAATCACCCCAGCAAAGTATTTTACAACACAGCTGAATGCTTATAACCTACTGTCCAAACCACCCCCTGCCCTCCACAAAAACAAAGACACCTCTTCTTGGATTAAGCGCACACTATCAAACTCTGCTACTAATCTTGGTAAGACATGAAAACTGGTGCCTAGTTTTAAAGTCTAGGTTTACAACTTCATAATGTTTTTCAAGAATTTACTCAGGTTATTGGTTAAAACAAGCATTCAATATATTATCATCAACCAAAAATGCAGAAAACACTAACCCAAATTTAGGTAAGAAAATGAACTGGTACACTTCCATTCACTATCCTGAGCAGAAATCTCACCCTCTGCTGCCTGTGGAACCCATCCACCAAAAACATACATTCTGAAAAATATAGGGGGAAGGGATGGGAGGAGAGGGGGGGGAGAGAGAGAGAGAGAGAGAGAGAGAGAGAGAGTGTGTGTGTGTGTGTGTGTGTGGCAGGGGGGATCGCAGGAGGGAACAGAGCAGAATTAATGGGTGATACAGTAATTACTCCAAGCCCTGAATCATTAGTAGTAGTATAACAATATTTGTATCATTATCAGAAA